GAAAGAAACTCCAAGGGACCTAGAATCACTCTTAGGGTTTATAGGAACCACTCCATGCAACAAACTTGCAAGGAGCTCTAAAGAAATCTTCATTAGGCTCAAAAAGGAAGACTTGTGTGGCCCGGAATGCTGTTCATTATATTTAGCAAAATGCCACTTCTTGTCTTGTGCATCAAGAAACATAACTTTCCACCTATTAATGCAATTAAAAGATAAATCCTACTGAAGTAGAAAAACAAGATGCCTTGGGCCAGGCCCACATGGTACTTGTTAAAATGATAAAAATGCCACTGATCAGATCAGTCCAATTCCCAAGAATCTATTTCATGCCAGATTGGAACCTATTTGTTGGCCTTCTTCTTACAAGAATTGGTCTTATAAGGCCTGGACTGATTCCCATCAGATTTAAATCTGAAATAGAGAAGGAGAAGAAAGTTTGAACCTTTAAAAGAAAGAGAGAGGTGCTTGAATGTCAACATGTGCACATGTTGACATCCAAATTCATTGGTCTGGATTTTACATGGCTCTCAATGCATGCTTGAAGCATAAGGTCATAAATTTTGACTTCATACTTTTGGCTTCCAATGTGCTTCTTCTCTTACAAAAATGCTTCAGAAAATAGTTGCTCGCCAAACTCCGAAACACATTTTTGCTGCTCAAAGCAAAAGCTTATAAAAAACAACCTTAATGTAAAGAAACCAGAAATTACTAAAAGTAATAATTTGTGATTTTATTATGAATAGTAATTATTGGAATTACTGTAAAAGTCTGAAATTTTACTACAAATGGTAATTAAAAAACCCTATTCCTAAGATACCAAGAAACTAAAAATACCAAAATTTGACAACTCAAAAATTACAAATTGCCATTGGTTCAACAATATGAAGAATCTTGATTTCCTATTTCAAGAATTCTTTCCCATGTGCATCACTTTTACTGATATTTGGATTATTTTTGTACTCTTGGATTTGTTAGTAGATGGCTGAGCTAAAATTGTTGGGCTTAACACTCAAGGCTGAGTTCAATTGAGTTGGACATTTAGTAGTTCTTTTTCATCTTCTCTCTTTGATGTAGGTATCCGTGGAACCATGTAAATCCTTGAGTTTCATATATATGATATTTGGTTTTGTTCTAGTTATTTTCTTTCCATTTTTGTAGTTCCATCAAACCTATGATTGTGTTCCCTCATGACAATGTTTACCATTTCCGAAGGATTGGAATCCTTCTAAAAATGAAACCTGACTTGTGCATGCTTTTATCTCAGGGGGTTGTTTGGGTATTAGAATCAGAAAGGGTTTCAAAGCTTTGGCCTGAGGAGAAAGTGCTGAGGGAGCAAAAAAACAAGGAGATCTTGGAAGTTTCCCCTGTAAAAAAACATGCTAAAATTAAAAACCGGTCACTTGTCTTGACAGATCCAGATGGTTCTCAGGCAACTATTCAGCTTGTGGGTTGCATAGTTCTAGCTGTTTCTGGCTCAAATCTATCCTCAAAAAAGTGGTAAGTTTCTTGGCATAAATACTTGATTTTTTGGCCTAACTATATGTATATCAATTACTTGTTGGCCTTTTTACATAATACTTTTTCTATGAATATACATTACATAAAAAAGGAATGCATGCCATATATACATTAAATTAGTGTAAAATAATATCATATCATACTTCCCAAAGTTTGTATCTAGTGTACCGGTGGTGGATACAAGACTTTCTTGGTATGACACCCAATCCTGGATTGACACTTCTAGATATATTTTATAGCATTAATGCTTTAAAAATATGTAAAGTGGTGTGTTTAATAAACCATACAACTAAACGGTCTATATATGTTAGAAAGTAAATTACATTTGGCAAGACATAGCCTTGAGAAATGACACTTAGAACTAGACATAAAAGTATGATATAAGCATTAAGCATATTATATAGGAAACCCGTACTCATATCCTTGTTGTTATTCTGTATCTTGGCACCATAGGTGTGCATGTCTGTTCAAGAGTTTGGTAATATGAATCTCTTTGCTTTTTTATGGCATAGTACACACCCAAGGGTGTTGGACCGATCGTCTAATTTATCTCATTTAGAAGATAGTCTTGGTAAAAACTTGACCAGATAGTCTTGTTCTGGTACAATGTAAAACCGGTATCATGCCAAATTCTAGCACATGGTTTTCTAACACCAAAATTCACTCTGGTGGAAGGGCGGCCACCAAAAATTTATTAGATGAAATCAAAAGAGAGACCTAGGAGGGGGAGGGACGTAAATACCTTACTCCTTTAGAAAAGCTATACAATCCAAAACCTCCTCTAGCTGCCAAGGAAATTATTTCCATCTAATAATAGGTATCGCAACACCATCCTCTTGAACTGCTTGTCTAATAGAAATGGGGCAGTGTTGAAGCTTTGAAGCCACTGAACGTTATTGAGGTCGCATGCCATCTTAGCAAGGATATAAACAACTTGGTTTCCTTCCCTATATATGTGGGAGAAATCACAACACATGACACCAATTAAATTTGGAAAGAGGAAGCTTGGGAAAGAGGATGATTACTATGGAAAGGAGTGAGGGCAGCTTTGGACGAAGAAAAAGTGGAGTGGTGCTGGTCGTGTTACTGAAACAGAACAGTCATTATTACTGATTGAAATGGAGTGGTGCTGGTTGAGGTGAGTTAGACAGGGAAGATGGGTGAGAGGTTGAAGGTTCTTAACACTGTCAGAATTGTTAGAAGTAGTTAACAGGGGCAGTATTGTCTTTTTCATGTTATTCTTTCTCTCTTATATCTGCTATGATTTTCTTAAGGGTATTATAGTCATTTCAGCCTTAGTAGAATGTTAATACAACCTGGGTCGACAGTATGGAGAAGTAAACAGATTTCTCCTTTCTAGTCTTCCCTCTTTTCTTCTCCTTTTCTTCTCTTTCCCTTCCCTTTCTCTTCTTATCTTCTTTTCTTTCTTTCTTCTATTCTTTTCTTCACTTTTTCTTACTTTATTAAAGTTGGAACATGGTATCAGAGCCTTGAAGTCGACTGTACTGTTCGCGGCACTGTTCACGTCCCAACTTTTTGTGCCCTAGGAATAGAGAATATTCTGTTTGTTGGAAAGGAAAAGGACTTAAGAGGACTGATAACCCACTTGGAAAAGAGGCTTTAATGCCTCAAATTGCAGTGTTGTGTGAGTTGGTGGTGTTTTTCTAAAAGCCCTCTATTCGGCAGTTCGAAGAGGGCACCTTTGTGATGTAGGTGCTCTTCAATGTGTGGTGATTTTGTAGTGGTTTGTGTTTTGGTGACACCTTGTGGTAAGTATGTGATATGACCCAGAAATTTGACACACAGTTCACCGACTCACAGCAGAATCCAAATCACTAGTACATCAACAGAGAACTGATATTCATTCAGAAGAAAAGAAGATCACTTACAGTAGGTCGGTTCTTCGAGAGACCACCGGCTCTTATAAATGCCCCGCTGGCCAACTTATAAATGCCCCACACTCTTCTTATTCCCAACTAACAAGCTATAAATGCTACTCTTCTTATTCCCAACTGGCAGGCTATAAATGCTACTCTTCTTATTCCCATCTAACAAGCTATAAATGTTACAAAACTCTCCTTATTCCCTCCAGCCATAAGTTCCCCCATGTTCAATTATTTCCCCCCTTGGTCGAAAGCTGACCTTTCCCCTTCCTGGCATACGTAAAATTAATTGGGGGCCTATCATTACCCGTCGCCCAAAGTCTAACCTTGTCCTCAAGGTTGAAATGAGGAAATTGGTCGCGAATTAAGTCAAAAGGCTCCCACGAATCTTCAAAATCAGGCAGGTCCTGCCAATGGATAAGCACTTCCGAACCAGTAACTCCAGGCATAGTGGATTGACGCACCCCTCGAACGGCCGCAGGTTCCACCAGCATTTCCATATCAGCTGACAGAGTGGAAGGAATCACAGGAGAAGAGACATGATTGCCAATTGCCTTCTTGAGTTGCGAGACATGAAAAACAAGATGAATCCTTGCCTCTAGAGGAAGTTGAAGTTTATAAGCGACAACGCCACTTCTTTCCACAATAGCAAATGGTCCATAAAATCGAGGGGCAAGCTTTTCATTGGCTCGGCGAGCTAGAGACTGTTGGCGATAAGGTCGCACTTGCACATATACTGAATCTCCAACCTCAAAATTAACATCACAACGGCTCACATCAGCCGAGTCTTTCATCTTTTGTTGTGCACGGTGTAGATGAGCACGCAGCTCCCTAAGTATAGCATCTCGCTGAAGGAGAACAACTTTGTTGTTGCTTGTGGTGATTGAGAGAGAGAGAGAGAGAGAGAGGTACGAATGATAGAAAGAAAAGCAAACTCAGTACTGGCAGCCGCCAGTCTTCTATTTATATTAATCTTTATAAAAAAGACAAAATTACAAGTATGCCCCTGGCGGCATATCCTAGGATAAGAACAATAAGAAAAAAAAAAAGAAAGGACTAGTAGCTGAAACTGTCCCAATAACATCAGTTACAAGGAACACTTAAGCCTTACAACACTCCCCCTCAAGTTGGGCTGAAGATGTCTATCATGCCCAGCTTGTCACATAGCTCATTGTGCCACGAACATGGAAGTTCTTTTGTGAGGACATCAGCAAGTTGTTCCTTGGAGTTGACATAAGGGATACAAATTTCCTTTTTTCTAGTTTCTCTCTTATGAAGTGTTTATCCACCTCAATATGCTTAGTCCTCTCATGTAGGACCGGGTTGCTGGTGATGTTTATTGCAGCCTTGTTGTCACAGTAAAGAGACATAGGATTATGAACAGAAACTCCAAGCTCACCTAGGAGGTTCTTTAGCCAAAGGACTTCAGCCACCCCATGTGCCATAGCTCTATACTCAGCTTCTGCACTTGATCTTGCTACCACACTTTGCTTCTTGCT